GCGGCGGGGCGGTCATCGAAAGTCCTCCCCCCCCTCTGCCGTGGCCCCGCCGCGGCTGCTGCTGGTTTGGAGCCCCCGGAGACAGAGGGCGGCAGGACCCGGTCAACCAAACGCGGCACCGTTGGGCAGGTCGTAATCAAGTCGGGTCGGGCACAGGCCACTTAGCAGGTACCACTAGCGATAACACTAATTAACCGGGTTATCAGTTTAATAACAGTATGTATAACACTGATGAACTTGAGAAAGTCAGGGCACTGTCAGGGGGCTTGGATTCCTGGCAAACCCGAGGGGCTGAAGGGGTGAAACCTCTGACTAGTTCAGAGAGAGGTGCATTTCAGGAAATATCAAGGCTCGGTTTTCTGTAGACTTTCAACACCGCCAGGCGATCCACTGCGATTTGAAGGAGGAGGGGTGAACAGTGAACAGCATGCTTTCCCTGTCTGATCTATTAGGGCTATTATATTAATTAATGTTTACTCCGGGTTAAATACAGTAACAGAGATAAGAGTAACTGCAAATTGGGCATCCAGCTCTCTATAGATAACAACAAACTAATCGGATCCCCTATTGTTCTCCTCCACTCCCTTCACGGTGATAATGTTGGACCTCAGTCCTTCGGGCAGGCACTGCCAATGATGTGATTGCGTTACAGTGCCACCGACGTCTGTGGCCTGCAGCCTGTGTGGGCTGTAGGAAGGAGGAACTTCCTAGCATCCCAATTGCTTTCAGGAATTGACTTTCTCTATACTTTCTGACCGGATTCTGACCAGATTTTATTTTCCATAAAGGCAAGAAAGAGGAGCAAATTTTTCTTAAGCCCTGCAAACTAGACAGCTTCTAGGGGGATATGAATAGCACCTTCCCCCTCTCTTTCCAAAAAGTTCCTTTTTCAAAATCTCAAATTGGCAAAGGATAAGTGGGTGTCTTAGTAATAAAAACAAAACCCTGATACAATTTGAAGTATCACCGCAGGACACATCTGCCATGATTTGTAATGTAATTGCTACCACTGTTAATAACGGATGTCCTCATTTTTTACTGGTTTTGTTAGGCTTATTAAGCACCGTGGCTTAATACAGCTTAGGTGCCTCCAGTAGGAAAAAAAAAACCACACAGTTCCAATTTGCAGAAAATCAAAATGCCATCTCTCTAATATTAAGAAAGTCTCGGGTGACTTTAATGTAACTAGACTGATGTCCTTTAGCCTTCATGAGATTTTGTTAGAATTGCAAAGAAAGGCATTCAAATACCATTTTAAGCAAAAGCAGCAAAATGAATGCAGTCATGCAAATGCCATCTTCCCTGTACACACACATACAAATCAAAGTTTGAACTAAACCTCCCTATCCATCAATACTGCAGCACAGCACAAAATATTTACTTAGCTGCTGCTTTGCTATAGCAGCAATAAACTTCGCTTAGAATACGTATGTATTTGTAACGATGTCTGAAATAGTACGATAGTTAATGTCACAAGTGGTTATTTAGCTTTGTCACAGGCAGTTGGGAAAAAGTCCTTTATTACCTGCAATCAGCAGGGCTAGTCATGTCAGTAAAGATTTAACACCCTTGTAGGTTTTCGACAGCAAGCGCCATTGTCTTTCCCACCCTCACCGTGCTGCATGTATTGCCCTCGGACCACTGCCACCCCACATACCCCCATCTCACCCATGCCCACTGCCTCTCCCCACCGCAGTATTTCCACTCCCAGCAACAGCCCCCACTGCCCCTTGCGCCCTGTGGACCCTTACACCAATGCTCACAACGCCCACAGGCCCATGTACTGGTCTGCAGCGTGGGCAAGGGCCGTGCATGTCGTGCTGCGACAAGGCCAACACACACGAGCCGACCGGCCGCCAGCTGGTTCCAGCTGTTCTGACTGGCCCATGGACCAACAGCTGGCGGAGTTTGGGGATGCAGCTGTCAGTGTAGGTTTGTGGCAGTGCAGAAATTGGATATCAGCAGCTAGGGGATGGAGAGGATTAAAAGCTGAAGGGCTGAGAACAGAAACCACTTTTAATGAACTGACTAAAACATAACAAAGATAAACCCCAAGAGCACTGAAGGAGCAGCATGGGTGGAGAAAGGGCTAAATATTAGTAGACTGCTGATAGCTGCTTACATCTTGTGGATGGGGAGAGGAGGAAGAGAAAGGAGTGTCTATATGCATATAGCCAGAGGTTGAAGGAAGGGGAAGCGACTGCCTGACTTTGGAGTGCCAGAATGAAGAAAGGACGCATGCCCACAGATCCACTTTAAGGGTTGCTTCCAGGCCTGCAGCTTAGCGGGAATGTGGCAGTGTGGATGCTGTCCCCTGGTTGTGTATGAAAGTGGCTGCCAGGATCAGAGATGCCAGGCACTGTACAAACACGCATGGAGGAAGGCCCACACAAGGCCCCTGTTCCAGAGCTTGTAGCCCCTTATTCGGGATCTTAGACCGCAAAAGCATATGCAGTAAACAATGGATGTCACAGAATTTCTTTCTTCTTTCTTGTGTTTTCTAAACCCGTCGCTTCTCTTAGAGTGCCCTGTTGTCAGCACCCATCATAACTCCATGAGTCCAGAGACGCTCTGCGCAGGCTGGGCATGGCGACCCTCTCGTACAAAGCTGCAACTCTGATTTATAGACATAAGTACCAAAGAAAGTTGGCTGTCTCTGCCTTTGACGGGCCTGGCTGCCTGCCTGGATACTTGACCTGAAAGCTGTTCCTTCCCCTCTGTGCCTTTTAGTGGAATCCCTTCACGGTTTTAGTGCACAAGTATGGGAACATATCTGAGCAAAACACCTGCTGCTGCATTAGCCCTGCACGCCATGTGAGGAAGGCCTGCTCCGTGAGCACGGATCCCAGGAGCTCTGGTTATGCCTGTGAAGAAGAACCATTGCAAGGGAAATGAGGGACGGAAGAAGGTGGCAGGGGAGGAAAGACTTCAGCCGTAGGCCAAAGCACTTGGCTGAGCTCTGTGCTGTCCCTGCAGCAGCTGGGGACAAAGAAGGAGAGCAGAGGAGAGGCCACTCAGTGCACCGGAGCCCCCCAGCTCAGCACCTCGCCCTGCAGGCTGCGGCTGGGCGATGCTGGAGCTGGGATCTGCGCCCGGGACAGGCCGGGGCTGCCCAAGCCCTGCCCGTGCTCGCAGGGCCCCTGTGAGCGTCC